GAGAGGTTGCCTATTTTGATGTACCTAGTAATCTTAATCTAATGTAACGTAATCGTGAAAAAACATGTTCTAATAATAGCGAAATAAAATTGATGATCCTTTTATCTAAGATCTTAAAAGTAGCGAAGATTAAATATTCGACAGAATGTGAATAGTTTGCAACTGGCGGAAAATATCTTTCATAAATATGTTGACGGTATGGCTGTGGGTATTATCTTCTTATATTCATACTCACCCACACCTACACCCTCAAGAAAGCACATTGATTTATATCTTAAAAATATAGATTAATTTGCTTACAATTGTTTTACACCCACATCTTCAAGAATAACAAGATTGTTGTGTAAGAGAAGCTAATAATGTCTTCAAAATTATTTATTTAGTACTTTATTCTAAAAGTAAATGATAAAAGCTACTCAATTCTCTGATAAATATTTCAACGATTGTTTCGATTTCATTCTCTTGCCAACGACCGATAGGCAATTCGACAATGGTTGATTCGTTTATTTTGATATGGGCAGATATTTGAAGTTGATCTTCTTTTTCTGATCGATTCGCTTCAAATTTCATTTCAAGTTGATTATTATCAATGCTTAATAGATCATAATTCTGAACTACTCGTGAATGACCGGACCATCGATTATTTTCATTGCTTGACCAATGAACTCGAGCAAAACGAGAATAATAACTAACAAATTCTTCTTTCATTCGAGAGATCAATGATGCCACACGAAGGAACGGTTCATTCAGCTCGTGTATTGATCTGCTCTTAATGGTTATATTTTGTTCCTTCATACTGTTCAGGACTTCTGCGAGAAATCGTATTTGATATTTCAATGCATCAATAGACCATTGCTGTTGTGGGTTGCCAAAAGCTTGATCAAAGATCAGTTGAAGATGATTCTCCATTGAATGAATCTTCCACGAACAACTATCTAAAAGTGAGATTTATAAGACTTCAGAAAGGTGATTGATTATTTTTCTCTTACTTGTCGCGAGCTTCAGTGCATCTTTAATCAATTGACTGTTTTGAGACATACGATGCGGGGCTTTTCCTGTTGCATCTCGTGCTACTTTTGGTTCATGGAAAGTAATCATCCAAAAGAGAATAGCACAGATGCAGCTGGTATCAATAACTGGACTCTGACGTTCTGATTGTCCTGGCTCTTTCTCCTTGTCGATATCATTGTTATTCAATGGTTGAGTTTCAAATTGAACTGGAAGATAAAAAGTATGTGTTACTGCATTATTGATTTGAAGGAGATTTGTGTCGTTGGTTTTCTGAACCTCGTCGTTCCGGAGAAGATGAGCAAAATCGAAATCAATTAGTTGTAGGCCGAATTCTTTTTCATCATCGGCGGATATTAAAGGATGAAGATAGATCTTTGAAGGTGTGAGATTTCGGTGAACGACACCACAATGATGAATTTCTTTAACCAAATCGATCAATTCCAAGATTATCATCACCTTTTCTTTAAAGGTGAGCAAGTTATCCCGTAGATAATTATCCAGTCTTGTTCCTTCAGGTTTTTCAGTCATCAGCCATAGTTTTGTCCATGAATTCGGATTAATCGTTGATTTCTCAAAATTACAGTCGATCAATTTTGGTATACTTTTTACTTCTACAAGCAAATAACTCTTTCATTCGAATTCTGTCTTTCAAACTTACCTGCCAGTCGTTGAAGAGCCAATTGATGCCGTTCAACACGTAATTGTGACGATCTATCAGATATTAGGGAGTAAATTTTCAATTGTGCTCTTCTATTGGAATCGGCCTGATCGACGACGGAATAAATGGCATCCGTCTGATTCAATACAATTTGTTCATCGAGTGACCATGAACGTGGCAATACGGGCAGAGCTGATTGTTGGTCTTGTTCAGGATACTCAATACTAACTAATGTATCCATGACTGGTTTTCGCATACTGTTGTATGCCATTGAAAGGCGCTTTTTCCCACTATTCACACTATTCACGCTTGAGATGATAGAGGGTGTGGAACTTTGCCATTGTTGTGATGTTTGCAAATGATAGGTACCAATCGTCGAATTGTAATAATTAACATTCATTTCTAGTTGGCATTTCATCCTGTATTGTTGATCATTGGCAAACGGCTGATTATGCCATGCATGAATCAATTCCTTGACAAATGCTGAGGATCTTTCATCAGTCGCACAGGCAATCATTGGCGCTGATGGATCATTTTCATTGGGGTCACAAGATTCGTGAAGTCTCGAAAGAATCTTAACCACAAACGGCTGCAGATTTGCGATCGAGTAGCATCTGGTGGAAAATTACTGATTCGTACACGATAACCACCTTCATCTAAACAAAAGGAAAGTCATGTTGAAATCAAAGCTTTTTGTGTTCGTTACCGGAGATAGGTGGACGCCTAAAGTGATCAGGTCTTTGTGCATCATGTCCATACCAACATTAAGTATTTGGACAGTTCACTGGTTGTACGCATCGAATATGTTTCTGTCGACAACTGATGGAAAATGGGCATCTTCCTCTCCGGTACGCTTTACACAGTTCGAAATGATTCACTGGTGCAGGAATCACTTGACATTGAATTAAAAAATCACGTAAAACAGATTCATTCTTTTCCTCGGCTAATTTTTGAAGAAATGCCTTGCTTCCAATATCTTTAATCCAAACTTCCGCAGGTATTCGTTGATTTTCAGCTAAATGATTTTGTAATTCATTATAAGGTCGAATAAGAATATTTCCCACATCAACACGAAAAATATTCGAAAGTTCTTCACCAGTAACATCATTGGGTAAATTCGTCACATGAATACAGTATTCGACCACGTCAGAAGTAACAATAGTTCCTGAATAAAAATGACTTAAACATGATGTCGTCGACAAGATTAAACAATGACTTACGTCGATCATTTGGCACGAGCAGTTTTTCCACTATCAATTGTATTCCTCTCACGCTGTGCGTCCCTTTTTCTAGGACGATCCGATCCACCGAATCATAACTGTAATGAGAATAATCGAAAGAGATTTATCATTACTACTATTTGTCTTACTCATCAAAAATGAAATAGATATTGTCATTTGAATATTCTCGATGATTAATTGGACCGAAGTATCGAAAATAATTTTCTACATTATGAATCAACTCATTTGGAGGAGCATCCTTCGGTAGTTGAACTTTCAGACCACAGGTTATTTTGTGAGATAAATAGTGCTTTCTGGAAAGCTGCCGGGATATAGAAAGCTCCTTACCAAAAAGGTAAATCGGTCGCTTTCGCATGATTTCATTGACACAATCTTCATGAGGAAGAGAGACAACGACACATTGTGACTTTCGATTGTGAAGAACTATAAAAAAAAGTATTGCAGTCGAACGTTTTTAGAGAGATTTTCGTCTAGGACTAACATGCTGATTCATTCCAGTTTACTGTAAATTTTAATTTTGTTACTATTAAGGCCCCTGGCAATGATTCTTTTGATATCGCCTGTCTTGACTGTTTCATCGAGATCATGGACCATTAAATGGCGTTTGTATGCTTCGGCATTCTTGTCAATAAAAACTCCTGGTTTCTAGAAGAAAGACGAGCAATTCGGCGAATTTATTTCATTTCATGAGACTTACTTTAGCCATCGCTTTGTTTGCGGCTATACTTGAAGAAACAATTAAAATGCAGCGTCTTTTATATAGCATGAAATGTTTGGTTTTTCCCCATGACAAAAAAATATTTTGTTAAATTTAATGCCTTTTTCTTTTCGTTCTCCATCAGATTAATAAACATACTTCTATTTTTGCTCTCGTATGATTACATCAATGGGAAAAAACACACAAGCGATTCCCTTAATCTCGTACCATCTTGAGGGTGTTGGTGTGGGTGTGATGAGTATGGGTGAATCTGGCGTTAGTATAATCCATATCCACATCCGCCCTCAAGAACTAAAACCAAGATATGGACCCGGTCTTGTCCGAATCTAGAAGGATCCGCAGCTCCATACTGATGATAAATACCAGAATAATTTAAAAACTCGTTCTCTGAAAAGATTGGATGATTTTACTAAGAGTTGATGTAATCATTTCATATACTTCTATATTTCTATATCCAAATGATGCATAAATAGAAAATCGAAGATCTCTATCAAAGTAAGCCATGTGCACCTAATATTTTAAATTCATTAGTTTCTCGACGAAAGTGCTCTTTTAACACAAAAAATAGTCAACCTTCACGATGATCAGTAGAATTTTAATTGCTCAAGCTAGTGCGAAGAATATCCATCTTGGTCTTATAATAGAAATTCGACAACTGGTAGTTAAGAAGATTCATTACATTGGAATCAAATGAAAGTTCTTATTGCTAAACTAAAAAATATAAAATATTATATTCCGATAGCGTATCGAGAGTAAGTTACTAAAATTTCAAGGTATGTGAAATATACGTGCAACAATAGATGATGATCATAAAAAATATGGATACCGATGTTTTATTACAATTTATTTTTATTCAATAAATTTCTCGGATCTTTCTTGTAAATATTAGATACATTCGATTTGCACTGATTCCAGTTTTATCTAAAGTTGAGTTATAGACAATGCACTAGAATCCCATCTTATGTACAGAGTCCGAATCCATACACGATTTGACAGTTGAGGATCATTTCTCGTTAAATTTTCTCTCGAATCTATCATAAAAAGTGAGAGAAAAGAAACGTTTTTATTCAAATCATGTCGCTTAACACAACAAGAAAATCATCTTTCTGTCACACCAATATCTTGAGGGTATGGGTCTGAATATCTAGCATACATGAAAATCTTATCAATACTCAGACACAAACCCACTCTAGACGATAAAATTTTCATTATTTTGTATAAGAGAACAGTAAGTTTTATTTGTTGAAGCAAGGTAATGTTCGGTTTTGGATTTTCATCGCAGTCGGCAAAGTATCTTTTGTCAATGAAAAAAGTATTGTTAATGATATTTAAAAAAAATAATCGTGATTTATTATTAACAACAACATTTATTAACATAAGAAAATCATACTCTAGAACACATTATTTTTAAAAGAGAAAATAACTAAAAATCATAAAAGAGGAAACATGTTTTCATCAACAAGTAAACGCAAATGCTTTCTACTTAATCATGGAACAGAAGCTGCAATTTACATTTTCTTTATCAATTTAAGGAAAAAAAAGGAAACTGATTTTTTTTTCATCATTTACTGTAGATAATAGTTAGTCAGTAGGAGATAAAGCATAAGCCTAGCAAAAAATAATATTTTTTAATTCTTTACAAAAGATTTCTATCGTTAGCTAAATAGTGCTACACTAGAAAATATCTCTCCTTTTTCTCTTTGCTACTTGTTTTTTTTTACCCATATATATTTTCTGTTTGTTGCTATCTAGCATTTGAAAAAGTCTCAACGGACATGTATGGCTTATTCTTTTGATGGTCTTTAATGCGATACACGGTACTGTATACAGGCGACAATGCACTTTTCAACATAGAAATACGATTTTCACAAAATATGCTGGGAGTCAGAGGATTCTAAGCATTTTATCCCTCGTGTTTTAGGTAGTCTAATGTTTAATGATTTAGCAGATATTAGTTTTCTATCGGTTGATTAATTAGCTATTAACCAAATCCAAATCA